AAAATATTACTCGTTTATCCTTTTCTAGGTTTTCCAAAAAATATTGTCCATTGCTATTAGTATTATTAATAACATAGTAAGGATTATAATATTAATAACAGTAATAAAATTTCACTCGTTTACCCTTTTCCTCGGTTTTCAAAAAATATCCTCAACTGTTATTAGTATTGTTAATAACACAGTAAGTAATATTACTGTGTATTGTGTATAATATTACTGTGTATTATTACTGTTAATTATACTGTGTTATTTATATTATAAGTAATATTACACTCTTATTATAATATTAATAACAGTAATAAAATTTCACTCGTTTACCCTTTTCCACAGTTTCCAAAAAATATCTTCAACTGTTATTAGCATTGTTAATAAAACTCTATGAATAATAATATCAATAACAGTAATAAAATTTCACTCATTTACCCTTTTCACAGTTCTTCAAAAATATTGTCAACTGTTATTAGTATTGTTAATAACACAGTATGGATTATAATATAAAATAACAATAACAAAATCAGTAACAAGAATAAAATCTCAGTTTCCCAAAAATATCCTCAACTGTTATTAGCATTGTTAATAAAACTGTAAGAATTATAATATCAATGACAGTAATAAAATCTCACCCGTTTACTCTTCTCCTCGGATTTTCAAAAATATCCTCAATTGCTATTACTATTATTAATAACATAGTAAGGATTATAATATCAATAACAAAAAACATAATCGGAAACAGTAACAAAATCTCACCCGTTTACCCTTTTCCTACGTTTTTCTAATTGATTAGATTAGTTATTAGCTCTAATCTTCCGGAGATCGACTATATCTATAACTAATCTATCTATAATACTAAACTAAAAAGAATAATAATAATAAGAAGAAGAAGAACAAGAAGATGAAGAAGAAGAAGAAGAAGAAGAGGGAGGAGGAGGAGGAGGAGGAGGAGGAGGAGGAGGAGGAGGAGGAGGAGGAGGAGGAGGAGGAGGAGGAGGAGGAGGACGAGGACGAGGAGAAGAAGGAGGAGGAGGAAGAGGAGGAGGAAGAGGAGGAGTAGGAAGAGGAAGAGGAGGAGGAAGAGGAAGAGAGGAGGAGGAGGAAGAGGAAGAGGAGGAGTAGGAAGAGGAGGAGGAGGAGGAAGAGGAGGAGGAGGAGGAAGAAGAGGAGGAGGAGGAGGAAGAAGAGGAAGAGGAGGAGGAGGAAGAAGAAGAAGAAGGAGGAGGAAGAAGAAGAAGAAGGAAGGAGGAAGAGGATGAGGAGGAAGAGGAAGAGGAGCAGGAGGAGGAGGAGGAGGAGGAGGAGGAGGAGGAGGAGGAGGAGGAGGAGGAGGAGGCGGAGAAGAAGAAGAAGCAGAAGGTGAAGAAGGAGAAGGAGAAGGAGAAGAAGGAGAAGGAGAAGGAAGAGGTTTTGCTAGAAGAAAACAAGACCTTTCGCCTGAAATATACATTTTTCCTCATATCTTTGCTCGATGTTTTGCCTCAAACAATATTTTTCCCGCTCGTATCTTTTTCTCTTGCTTTATTCCTCGGAGGTTTTATAAACTACGTGATCTTCTCTTTTCTTTTCCTTCTTCCTTTTTTTCCTTATTTTTTTTTCATCTTCCAGCCAAGAGGAAGGGACGCGAGCTGAGGTCAGCAATGACCTGCTGACAAAAGTTGCGGCCAATGCTGTTGGTGATCGCTCTCCCCCTCCCTCTCCCTCTCCCTCTCCCCCTCCCCTTCCCTCTCCCCCTTCCTCTCTTTCTCCCCCTCCCTCTCCCCTTTCCTCCTTCTCCCTCTCCCCCTTCCTCTCCCCCTCCCTCTCCTCCTCCTCCTCCCTCTCCCCCTCCCCCTCCCCTCTCCCTCTCCCCTCCTCCCCCTCCCTCTCCCTCTCCCCTCCTCCTCCTCCTCCCTCTCTCCTCCTCCTCCCCCTCCCTCTCCCGATTAATTTGGGTTTATTCCGTTTTTTTTTTTTTTTTTTTTTTTTTTTTTTTGGGGGGGGGGCAATAATGATGATACTGATAACAATAATAAGTAATCAAATAACGATATTGATAATAATGATAATATTATGGCTGGGGAGAGACCTTTGGAGAGGATTGTTATTTGTCTGGTAATAAGTTTGATAACAGTAATAATAATAATGATGACAGGTATTAACCCATTGCCGCCGGGTAAAAATGAACAAAAAATGGGGGAAAATGCTGTGCTCATTTTTTACACTTTTTGTGAAATGTCTCTACACTAGATGGCTCTGCTTTCATTTGGCGGGAAAATGTATTTTTACTAGTACAATGAATATCGATGGTTATTTTTATTATAAACATTATAATTGCTATAATGTTAGTAACAGCAAAATAAGATAACGTATAATATTTTCATAAATTAAAGAAAAGAGTAAATAGGCGAGACAGGCAGTACAAGTACAAGTGCAGCCATCTATGTGTAAAAACAATTAAACAAATAAACTCACAGTGGGCCCGTCACATATATGTGACACCCGGCGTGAATGGGTTAACAATAATAATAATAATAATGCTAATAAGTTAAAGAGGGACTTCTACACCCTTACATAGAGTAGTAATATATAGAGTTATAATAATAATAATGATACTGTGGCCAGATCGAGACGACAAGAGAAATTGGGACTATTTTTGAGCTTATTATGCTTGTTTGATTTTTTTTTTTGGGGGGGGGAGGGGAGGCAATAATAATGATAAAGATAATGATAATAAGTAATAATAAGGGATAATAATAATAACAAAATAGATGATAATGATAATGGCTAGATTGAGACGACAAGAGAAATTTGATTATTTTTATTATTATTATTTATTATGTTACCATTTTTTTTTTTTCGTTCTTTCTTTTTCTTGGGGGGGGGGGGCAATAATAATGATAATGATAATGATAATAAGTAATAATAATAATGATAGAGATTGTTATTGTCTCCCCGTGCTACGGCTGGAAGAGCACAGGCCAGGAACATTACGGAAAAAATTTATATAAATGCACAAATAATAAGTTATTATTCATATTATCTCAATTATCTAAATTATTTGAATTAAATTAAATTATATTTAAATTAAATTAAATAATAATCAAATCATGTCATATTAGAAATATAACAAAACTACAAAAATGACAATATAGTATTTATTTTCTTTTTTTCTTGCCCTAAAATGAAGAAGAAGAATAAGAATAAGACAAAAAAGAAGACTAAGAAGAAGATAAAGAAGATGAAGAAGAAAAAGAAGAAGAAAGCGAAGAAGAAAACGAAGAAGATAAAGAAGACAAAAAAGAAGAAAGCGAAGAAGATAAAGAAGACAAAAAAGAAGAAAGCGAAGAAGATAAAGAAGAAGAAAAAGAAAGCAAAGAAGAAAATAAAGAAGATAAAGAAAAAGAAAAAGAAAAAAACACAAACAAAAATACACACACACAAAAAAAAATTAAATTAAAACAAATAAAATTAATCAAAAACACATCGATAAAAAATAAATAATAAAGAAAAAATAAATAAAATGAGACGCCGCTGATACAGACACACAAACTACACAAAAAAAATTAAACAAAAACAAAACAAAAACACACAAACGAAAAAGATAAAGATAAAAGAAAAAGATAAAGAAGAAGAATACGAAGACTAAGAAGAAGATGAAGAAGGAGATAAAGAAGAAGACAAAGAAAAAAGAAGATAAAGAAGAAGATAAAGAAAGAAGAAGATAAAGAAAGAAGAAGATAAAGAAAGAAGAAGATAAAGAAAGAAGAAGATAAAGAAAGAAGAAGATAAAGAAAGAAGGAGATAAAGAAGAAGACAAAGAAAAAAAGAAGATAAAGAAGAAGATAAAGAAGAAGATAAAGAAAGAAGAAGATAAAGAAAGAAGGAGAAGCTAAAGAAAGAAGAAGAAGATAAAGAAACACACAAAACACGCACCTCAGAAGAAGACAAAGAAGAAGAAAAACACAAACACTAACCAAAAAATAAATAAATAAATAATAATAAAATAAAATAAAAAACACATTGACACGACACGCACCTCATGCCGCTGGAGAGTGATCTGCGCTTCCAAGAAGAAGAAGAAACAGATAAAGAAGAAGACAAAGAAGAAGAAAAACACAAACACTAACCAAAAAAAAATAAATAAATAATAATAAAATAAAATAAGAAACACAAAACACGCACCTCATGCCGCTGGAGAGTGATCTGCGCTTCCAAGAAGAAGAAAAAGATAAAGAAGAAAAAGAAGAAGAAGAAGAAATAGATAAAAAAGAAGAAAAACACAAACACAAACCAAAAAAAAAAATAATAATAATAATAAAATAAAATAAAAAACACAAAACACGCACCTCATGCCGCTGGAGATTGATCTGCGCTTCCAAGAAGAAGAAAAAGAAGAAGAAGAAGAAATAGATAAAGATAAAGACAAAGAAGAAGAAAAACACAAACACTAACCAAAAAATAAATAAATAAATAATAATAAAATAAAATAAAAAACACAAAACACGCACCTCATGCCGCTGGAGAGTGATCTGCGCTTCCAAGAAGAAGAAAAAGATAAAGAAGAAAAAGAAGAAGAAGAAGAAATAGATAAAAAAGAAGAAAAACACAAACACAAACCAAAAAAAAATAAATAAATAAATAATAATAAAATAAAATAAACACATCAACACGACACGCACCTCATGCCGCTGGAGAGTGATCTGCGCTTCCAAGAAAAAGAAGAAGAAGAAGAAGAAGAAATAGATAAAGAAGAAGACAAAGAAGAAGAAAAAAACAAACACTAACCAAAAAAAAAAAAAATAAATAAATAAATAATAATAAAATAAAATAAAAAACACAAAACACGCACCTCATGCCGCTGGAGAGTGATCTGCGCTTCCAAGAAGAAGAAGAAGAAGAAGAAGAAGAAGAAGAAGAAATAGATAAAGAAAAAGACAAAGAAGAAGAAAAACACAAACACTAACCAAAAAAAAAAAAATAAATAAATAAATAATAATAAAATAAAATAAAAAACACAAAACACGCACCTCATGCCGCTGGAGAGTGATCTGCGCTTCCAAGGCCTTGATCTGGTCGCGCGGGACGACGATCTGCTCGTCTCCGGACTCTGCGGAAGGGAGTCGGATTTTAATAGGGAATAGGGAAGAATAGGAAATAGGGAATAGGGAATAATAGGAAATTTTAATAGGAAACGGAATAATCTTAATAGGAAATAGGGAATAATTTTAATAGGAAATAGGGAATAATTTTAATAGGAAATAGGGAATAATTTTGATAGGAAATAGGGAATAATTTCAATAAGAAATAGGGAATAATTTTAATAGGAAATAGGGAATAATTTTAATAGGAAATAGGGAATAATTTTAATAGGAAATAGGGAATAATAGGAAATTTTAATAGGAAACGGAATAATTTTATTAGGAAATAGGGAATATTAGGAAATTTTAATAGGAAATAGGGAATAATAGGAAATAGGAAATAGGGAATAATTTTAATAGGAAATAGGGAATATTAGGAAATTTTAATAGGAAATAGGGAATAATAGGAAATAGGAAATAGGGAATAATAGGAAATAGGGAATAATTTTAATAGGAAATAGGGAATATTAGGAAATTTTAATAGGAAATAGGGAATAATAGGAAATAAGAAATAATTTTAATAGGAAATAGGGAATAATAGAAAATTTTCATAGGAAATAGGGAATCATTTTAATAGGAAATAGTGAATAATAGGGAATAATCGTAATAGGAAATAGGGAATAGGGAATAATAGGAAATAGGGAATAATAGGAAATAGGAAATAGGGAATAATAGGAAATAGGGAATAATAGGAAATAGGGAATAATTTTAATAGGAAATAGGGAATAATTTTAATAGGAAATAGGGAATAATAGGAAATTTTAATAGGAAATAGGGAATCGGATTTTAATAGGGAATAGGGAATAATAGGAAATAGGGAATAATTTTAATAGGAAATGGGGAATAATAGGAAATAGGAAATAGGGAATAATAGGAAATAGGGAATAGTAGGAAATAGGGAATAATTTTAATAGGAAATAGGGAATAATTTTAATAGGAAATAGGGAATAATAGGAAATTTTAATAGGAAATAGGGAATCGGATTTTAATAGGGAATAGGGAATAATAGGAAATAGGGAATAATTTTAATAGGAAATGGGGAATAATAGGAAATAGGAAATAGGGAATAATAGGAAATAGGGAATAGTAGGAAATAGGGAATAATTTTAATAGGAAATAGGGAATAATTTTAATAGGAAATAGGGAATAATAGGAAATTTTAATAGGAAACGGAATAATCTTAATAGGAAATAGGGAATAATTTTAATAGGAAAGTCTAATATCTATGTACTCTGATATCTAATAATATTAATATTTATTAATATTTATTAATACTAATAATTAATACTATATTATTTAATACTAATAATTAATACTATATTAATTAATACTATATTAATACTATATTAATACTAATAATTAATACTATATCAATACTAATAATTAATACTATATCAATACTAATAATTAATGCTATATCAATACTAATAATTAATGCTATATTAATACTATATTACTATATTAGGAAATAGGGTCGGTAACTAGGGCCTACTGATAGACTCCTTGCCGGCTGAGCACACGTGGAGCCATCTGTATGTAGCAAAATTCACCCAAAACCACAGGGGACAAATAAATAAATAAATAAATAAATCCGGGGCGAATGGGTTAAGACAGGAAATTAGGAACGTAATGGATGGCTTATAAGACACACGAGGGGCAAAAGACGCAACCTTAACATAAATCATAACATAAAACAGAACATAAATCTAACAATTTAATATCTAACAATTTAAATCTAACAATTTAAATTGGCGAATGGGTTAAAAGTTTGGAACAGTAGAGTTTGGAACAGTTTGAGTTTGTTTTAAAAGTTTGGAACTATCTCTGTTTCGTCAGTAAATTGTCATTGTTGAAAGCATACATCATTTTCCTCCTTTTTTGTCATTCTGGTAACCATTGGTGCCGGGGAAAATGAACAAAAAAATGGGGAAAATGCTGTGCCTAAAGAGGGTAAAGAAAAGAAAACTAAACTAAACTTCAAAGAAAAGAAAACCTAAGAAAACCTAAAGAAAACCTAAACTTCAAAGAAAGGAAAACCTAAAGAAAACCTAAACTTCAAGGAAAAGAAAACCTAAGAAAACCTAAACTTCAAGGAAAAGAAAACCTAAAGAAAACCTAAACTTCAAGGAAAAGAAAACCTAAAGAAAACCTAAACTTCAAAGAAAAGAAAACCTAAAGAAAACCTAAACTTCAAAGAAAGGAAAACCTAAGAAAACCCAAAGAAAACCTAAACTTCAAAGAAAGGAAAACCTAAGAAAACCTAAAGAAAACCTAAACTTCAAGGAAAAGAAAACCTAAGAAAACCTAAAGAAAACCTAAACTTCAAAGAAAAGAAAACCTAAAGAAAACCTAAACTTCAAAGAAAAGAAAACCTAAAGAAAACCTAAACTTCAAAGAAAGGAAAACCTAAGAAAACCTAAAGAAAACCTAAACTTCAAAGAAAAGAAAACCTAAAGAAAACCTAAAAAAAACCTAAACTTCAAAGAAAGGAAAACCTAAAGAAAACCTAAACTTCAAAGAAAAGAAAACCTAAAGAAAACCTAAACTTCAAAGAAAAGAAAACCTAAAGAAAACCTAAAAAAAAAACCTAAACTTCAAAGAAAGGAAAACCTAAAGAAAACCTAAACTTCAAAGAAAGGAAAACCTAAAGAAAACCTAAAGAAAACCTAAACTTCAAAGAAAAGAAAACCTAAAGAAAACCTAAACTTCAAAGAAAAGAAAACCTAAAGAAAACCTAAACTTCAAAGAAAAGAAAACCTAAAGAAAACCTAAACTTCAAAGAAAAGAAAACCTAAAGAAAACCTAAACTTCAAAGAAAAGAAAACCTAAACTTCAAAGAAAGGAAAACCTAAGAAAACCTAAAGAAAACCTAAACTTCAAAGAAAAGAAAACCTAAAGAAAACCTAAACTTCAAAGAAAGGAAAACCTAAGAAAACCTAAAGAAAACCTAAACTTCAAAGAAAGGAAAACCTAAGAAAACCTAAAGAAAACCTAAACTTCAAAGAAAAGAAAACCTAAGAAAACCTAAAGAAAACCTAAACTTCAAAGAAAGGAAAACCTAAAGAAAACCTAAACTTCAAAGAAAAGAAAACCTAAGAAATTCTAAAGAAAACCTAAACTTCAAAGAAAGGAAAACCTAAAGAAAACCTAAACTTCAAAGAAAAGAAAACCTAAACTTCAAAGAAAGGAAACCCTAAGAAAACCTAAAGAAAACCTAAACTTCAAAGAAAAGAAAACCTAAAGAAACCTAAAAAAAACCTAAACTTCAAAGAAAGGAAAACCTAAAGAAAACCTAAACTTCAAAGAAAAGAAAACCTAAAGAAACCTAAACTTCAAAGAAAGGAAAACCTAAAAAAAAAACTAAACTTCAAAGAAAAAAAACCTAAAGAAAACCTTAAACTTCAAAGAAAAGAAAACCTAAATTCAAAGAAAGGAAAACCTAAGAAAAACTAAAGAAAACCTAAATTCAAGGAAAAGAAAACCTAAAGAAAACCTAAACTTCAAAAGAAAGGAAAAACATAAAGAAAAACCTAAAGAAAACCTAAATTCAAAGAAAAGAAAACCTAAGAAAACTAAAGAAAACCTAACTTCAAAGAAAAGAAAAACCTAAGAAAACCTAAAGAAAACACTAAACTTCAAAGAAAGGAAAACCTAAAGAAAACATAAACTTCAAAGAAAAGAAAACCTAAAGAAAAGAAAACCTTAAAGAAAAACCTAAACTTCCAAAGAAAAGGAAACCTAAAGAAAACCTAAACTTCAAAGAAAAGAAAACCTAAACTCAAAGAAAGGAAAACCTAGAAAACCTAAAGAAAAACCTAAGAAAACTAAAGAAAACCTAAACTTCAAAGGAAAACCTTAAGAAACCTAAAGAAAACCTAAACTCAAAGAAAGAAACCTAAAGAAAACCTAACTTCAAAGAAAGGAAAACCTAAGAAAACCTAAAGAAAACCTAAACTTCAAAGAAAGGAAAACCTAAGAAAACCTAAAGAAAACCTAAACTTCAAGAAAAGAAAACCTAAGAAAACCTAAAGAAAACCTAAACTTCAAAGAAAGGAAAACCTAAAGAAAACCTAAACTTCAAAGAAAAGAAAACCTAAGAAATTCTAAGAAAACCTAAACTTCAAAGAAAGGAAAACCTAAAGAAAACCTAAACTTCAAAGAAAAGAAAACCTAAACTTCAAAGAAAGAAAACCTAAAACTTCAAAGAAAAGAAAACCTAAGAAAACCTAAACTTCAAGGAAAAGAAAACCTAAAGAAAACTAAACTTCAAAGAAAAGAAAACCTAAAGAAAACCTAAACTTCAAAGAAAGAAAACCTAAACTTCAAAGAAAGGAAAACTAAGAAAACCTAAAGAAAACCTAAACTTCAAAGAAAAGAAAACCTAAAGAAAACCTAAACTTCAAAGAAAGGAAAACCTAAGAAAACCTAAAGAAAACCTAAACTTCAAAGAAAGGAAAACCTAAGAAAACCTAAAGAAAACCTAACTTCAAAGGAAAAGAAAGACCTAAGAAAACCTAAAGAAAACCTAAACTTCAAAGAAAGGAAAACCTAAAGAAAACCTAAACTTCAAAGAAAAGAAAACCTAAGAAATTCTAAAGAAAACCTAAACTTCAAAGAAAGGAAAACCTAAAGAAAACCTAAACTTCAAAGAAAAGAAAACCTAAACTTCAAAGAAAGGAAACCCTAAGAAAACCTAAAGAAAACCTAAACTTCAAAGAAAAGAAAACCTAAAGAAAACCTAAAAAAAACCTAAACTTCAAAGAAAGGAAAACCTAAAGAAAACCTAAACTTCAAAGAAAAGAAAACCTAAAGAAAACCTAAACTTCAAGGAAAAGAAAACCTAAAGAAAACCTAAACTTCAAAGAAAGGAAAACCTAAGAAAACCTAAAGAAAACCTAAACTTCAAAGAAAAGAAAACCTAAAGAAAACCTAAAAAAAACCTAAACTTCAAAGAAAGGAAAACCTAAAGAAAACCTAAACTTCAAAGAAAAGAAAACCTAAAGAAAACCTAAACTTCAAAGAAAAGAAAACCTAAAGAAAACCTAAACTTCAAGGAAAAGAAAACCTAAAGAAAACCTAAACTTCAAAGAAAAGAAAACCTAAGAAATTCTAAAGAAAACCTAAACTTCAAAGAAAGGAAAACCTAAGAAATTCTAAAGAAAACCTAAACTTCAAAGAAAAGAAAACCTAAGAAAACCTAAAGAAAACCTAAACTTCAAAGAAAAGAAAACCTAAGAAATTCTAAAGAAAACCTAAACTTCAAAGAAAGGAAAACCTAAAGAAAACCTAAAGAAAACCTAAACTTCAAAGAAAGGAAAACCTAAGAAAACCTAAAGAAAACCTAAACTTCAAAGAAAAGAAAACCTAAAGAAAACCTAAAGAAAACCTAAACTTCATTCTTAAACAAAAATGCAAAAAATTCTCCTTAAAAAAAGTCTATTATCCTGACAATAACTACCATTAACCCAATGGTGCCGGGGAAAATGAACAAAAAAAATGGGGAAAATGCTATGCACACTTTCTATGTTTTTCGTGAAATATCTGCCGATAGATGGCTCTGCTAGCGCCTGATTTGAAACGGCGGGAAAAACGTATTTTTCACTAGTGCTATGAAAATCGATGGTGTTATTTTTATCATAAACATTATCATTTTTATAATGTTTTTTTAATATTAGTAACAGCAAAATAAGATTACGTAAAATATTTTGTAAATCAAAGAAACGGGTAAATGGGCGAGACGGCCGGTACTCGTAGTTCGCACATTGGTGATTTAATACAAGTGTTGCCATCTATGCGTAAAAACAATCGAACAAGTCGACTCACAGTGGGCATGGCATGTACGTACATGCCATCCCCGGCGGCAATGGGTTAAAATGCAAATTTGCCAAATAATGGTTTTGAATTTTTCTTTGCCTTTTTTCAAATCAAATTATTTCATAGGTCCTTCATATACAAACGGTTAACCAAGTATTTTCTTATAGCCCAATTCAAGAGCTTTCAGCTGGTATAAATTTCAATTTTTAAAAATTTTGAAGTTTTGCACAATTTGACCCTCAAAATGACCACTCATGAGATACCATTTTTTTATTGAAATTTTTAATGAGCCATTTGGCCAATTTTCATTACTCAAACGATCATTTGCAAAACATATTTGGAATCTACACTATCTAAATGTATACCAGGCAAATTTTCTTGGACCAAAATATGACCAGAAATAAAGTTATAGCATATTGAAGTTGATCATTCTTCAGTTATGGTAAAATATGGGCGTGACATGTCCTAAAATGGGTCATATTTCAACAGCCCATATCTCTAGAACCACTTAACATACCGAGCTGACATTTTTGGCATAATCATATCAGTTATATAACAATTCATATCAATTTATATCAATTCATAATCCTATCAATTATATATCAATTTTTATATATCAGTTATATATCAATTCATAGCAGTTCATAATCATATCAGTTATATATCAATTTTTGGCAAGGTATATCAGATCAGTTCCTACAACAAGTATGAAAATCTTTGAAATCTGAAAGGTTGGGTGACAATTTTAGATTTCTGCAGGCCATTTGACATAGAATGACCCATATAAATATATATATATATATATATATATATATATATATATATATATATATATATATATATATATATATATATATATGTATATATATATGTATATGTATATATATATATATATATATATATATATATATATATATATATATATATATATATGTATATGTATATGTATATGTATATGTATATGTATATGTATATGTATATATATATATATATATATATATATATATATATATATATATATATATATATATAATATATACACACATATATACATACACACATACACATTATTCTAATAGTTTAAGTAGCTTTCAGGTTGCTCTTTGCTACTAAATTATCACGTTTTTCCTTCTCTTGAAAAATCTTTGAAAAAAATGAAACTTAAAAACAGTAATATAAAGCAAACTATAAGCTGAAAAGAAGCATTAGAAGTTACTACTACATGCTTAAGAGTGAATGGCATTTACAACGGTTCCCAAAACCAAAAGAAAGCAAAAAAGCATACATAAAAAAAATTTTATTGGTGTTTTTTGTGATTTTTCATGTGTTTTCATTATTTTTTATGTGTTTTTTAGTTGTTTTAATGTTTTTTTTATGTTTCTTTGGTTGTTTTCTTGTGTTTTTCTGTGTTGTTTGCATTTATATGTTTTTCTTTTTTATTGCGTGTCTTTTATATGTTTTCTTGTGCTTTTTTTGTATATTTCATGTGTTTTTTATGTGATTTTGGACAATATGTAGTATAAGGTAGTGGCAGAGTTGTGTAATTAATCAATTTATATTAAATTTAATTAAGACAATTTATATTAAATGATAGAACAATACAAACCAAGACAAAGTTCTTCTATAGCAATATGTATGCAAATGCAAGGGGGGCTAGGTATATATATTACCACCGGGATCCAGATAGATAGATAGATAGATAGATAGATAGATAGATAGATAGATAGATAGATAGATAGATAGATAGATAGATAGATAGATAGATAGATAGATAGATTGATTGATAGATAGAATAAAATATGTGCGCAAATACTATTTATTTAAATATGTGCGCAAATGCTTCCCAAGGCTGCTATACGTAAAAGAAAAGATCCTTCAGACAATATGCAGAAGAGGGTAGTGGGTTCCTTTCGAAAAACAATTTTGATATTTTTCTGCATGAAATCCACTGCTTTCAACGATTCTAGGTACATATTCCCTAGACAGGGGGAAATCTATCTAGGAACATATTACCTAACCAGGGAATAAATCTATCTATCTATCTATCTAGGTATATATTCCCTAGCCAAGGAATGAATTGATAAAAGATGATAATAAAAGATAACGATGGTATTAGCAACAAAAGTCAAATGAATTATAAATTAAATTAACTGTAGGGATGCATTTGGATTCTTATTTTATGACTTTTATTTTGATTTTTACTTTTACTTAATTATTAAATTATCTTAAAGAAAGAGAGAGAGAGGCTCCTGGACCCCCGTGGTAATATATATGCCTAGCACCCTTGAGGAGCATTTGCACACATATTGGAATAGAAGGTTTTTCTAGTTTTCTTGTTTCTTGTTTTTCTCTTTTTTCTTGTTTTTTTGTCTTTTTCTTGTTTTTCTTGTTCCTTTCATGTAGGTTTTATTACCCAACTCTGCCACTACCTTGTACTGCATATTGTCCAAAAACACATAAACACACATGAAATATAAAAAAAAACAAAAAAAAAACAGGAAAACATAAAAGACACACAATAAAAAAAAGAGAAAAACATACAAACACAAACACCACAGAAAACACAAGAAAACAACAAAAGAAACATAAAAAAAACATAAAAACAACTAAAAAACACAGAAGAATTAACAAAAACACATTAAAAATCACAAAAAACACAGAAACACACAAGAAAACAACAATAACACATAACAAACAAATAAAAAACACAAAAAAAAACATTTAAAAAATATAAAAAACACGATCCGTAAAAACACGATTCATAGAAAAAACAAAAAAAAACAATAAAACATAACAAAAATCACAGAAAAACACAAGAAAACATCAAATTAAACACATAATCAAATAAAAAACACACAAAAAACAGAGAAAAACATAAAAAAAACACGATCCGAAGGCCTACCATCTTCGACCTCCTCGGACAAAACTTCTCTCGTCAACGTCGTTATCTGGCCCTTTAAGCTATTCAAACTGTCATTCAAGTTGATACTCAGCCACGACATGGTCTTATCTCCTCTCCTCTCTTTCCTATTCGTGTTTTCCTGTCTCCCGTCTCTCTCTATCTCCCTCGAAAGGCCTTTAAATAGGAAGGAAAAGGGATAGCGGTCTGGTCATTACGCTGTTTGTTTACG